TGTGTGTGTGTGTGTGTGTGTGTGTGTGTGTGTGTGTGTTTTCGTGTTCGCTATATACAACTCCACAAAAAAAAGCATGACTCTGCGGGTGTTGTTGATGCTCACCACCACAGCCCCTGTTCCACCCACTCTGTCTGTGTGCGTGCATGTGTGTTATGTAAACAATCAGTGGCAATCGCCATACACCATCACGAAACCCATCCATGTCGATTCAGGGTCAAGCGCCAAGTGTGGGGCTAATCACTCTGAGACCTTCAAGAGACGACCAAGTGCAAAGTTAGCCACAATTTATCTTTCGCAGGCAAAGTCGAGAAACGAAAATGCGACATTCCGAAAAAGTGGCCAAGGAACAGTGCTACCAGACCGAAATGGCTGGCAACACCAACCAAAAGAAAAAAAAATAAAACGCTGCCAGGGTGGTTTGTTAAACTTCGTTTCGCTTTGGCGAGCAAGGGGAATCGGTCTGGGTAAAATGAGACTCGGAGGAAGTGGTGGTTTCAGCCCCGAGAACCACCCTAGAGAGCACACATGCACATGTGAAAAACAGAGGTGGACAAGAAACAGAGCACTCACCTAGCACAGCCAATCCTAAGTCAATATATCACATCACTTGTTTCCCTCGAACAAAATTCAATCAACAAAAAGCATCTGATACAGGTTTGACTGTCCTGTCATGCTGACCCACTGGCTGAAAAACAGCACACAGTGCTGACAGAGTCACACACAAACACACACACACACACACAGATTGTCTATAACTTCTTTTTGTCGTTTCTTCTGATTATCATATCTGTGTTGTTGTCCACTTGCCGCGTTGTTCGGCCCTTTTCCCTGCTTTGCTTGTACCATTAGGATGTGATTAAATACTAGCAGATAGACAGTGTGTGTTTGTATGGAATGCCTGCAACACTATTGGGGGGATGCTGTGTTTGAAATGTCTGTGCCTGTGTTTTCGGGTGGTGACAGACATTCGTCTTGAGCTTCCTGGCGCTTGATGGCAGACGGTTCAGTACCTGACAGTTCACATTGATCCTTGCTGCATCCATTGATCTCCCTGCTGGTGCATGCTTTGCTGTGTTGATGCACGCACACCCGGCCGCCTCCCCGTGTGTTTGCCTTGTTATGTGCTGCCTAGAGCATAGTCTGTTGCATGCCTTACCGTGGTGTTGTGTGTGCGTCCTACCGCCCCTCTGCCCACCCACTTGCCTTGCTACACGATGCCTAGTGGATACCACGCTGCGTGCTTTGCAGTGTTGCTGTGTGCATCCCCGCTAGCCCACTATGTTTTGCTAAGTTGCCTTGCCCATCCCATGCTGCATGCCTTGTTGCATTTGCCCACTCGCAACAGGGTTTGGAGCAGGTTATGACTCAAAACATTACCAAGAGATTCTGCAGACTTTCAAAGAGTTTAGCCTCCTAAAGAGTTTGGCCACGTCCAATGAAACCATCAGTCACCAAAACGTCCTCTATATGTGTATTTTGAATGAAGTCCAACCATGGGTACTTCGGACTCACAGGAACCCATAGAGATAGATTGGTTATGGCCGTAATCTGATGTGCCGTGTAGCTGTGTGAGGGCGCCGCCCGGCCAGGCCTGCCCTGCCGGGCTGGGCCCAGCCGGTTGGGCCCGGGGGGGCCGCCCTGGTAAACCGGGCAGGACAAAAAACCGCCCAGAATTGTTTTTTTTTCTTTTTTTGAAACCGGGGTCGTTCTGCGCTCAGCGAGAGGACCCTGAATCTGCAATAAAATTTTGGTTTTGGTGTGGGGATGGGGGGGTTGGTCTGGGTGGGGGGTGCTGGGGTTTGGGGGGTGTCTGTGATGGGGCGCAGATGCATTTTTTTTTTATTTTATTTTTTGTAAGGGGTGTGTGTGTATACAAGGGGGAGAGAGAGAGAGAGAGATAGAGAGAGAGAGAGACACACACACACACACATAACGGCTCCCCTTAACACGGCTCAGACGGCCCATGCAGGCTATCCGAAGGGTCCTCGCAGACATGTAGCGCGGACCCCCCCACCAAAATCGAGGCAGGTARTGAATATGAAATAGAGCACGAGCTGGCCGAATATGTAGTCAAGTTTCGAATTCAGGTCTGTGTTTCAGCAGTTATGGGTTGCTCACGTAGCTAGGGCCTGTTGGTCTCTGCACGTGACTCTTAGGGCTTGACTGCACTACTCACGAAATGTGCAAAATTAGAATGAATCTTCTGCAGAACGTGGAATAATACGCCACCATATGTTTTGTCTCTTGTGCATTCCGTGAGTAAAGGCCCTTAGGGCCACTGCACGTATTCCTAAGAAAAGAAAAACGAGAAAAGAAAAGAAAAGCGCAAAAACAGAGAAATGGTGACCCATAACCGACATGCACAGACCTGAATTTGAATCCAGACTATATATTCTCTGGCCCCCCTCAGGTAGTACAAGGTTGAAGTGTATCTCTGCATGACGTCGGGTCCCAGCTAATATGCTCTAGGGATCCTTTCGAAAAGAGGTTGAACACAACGAGGACATTTTTGTTTCTCCTTTTTTTTAATGCGCCGCATCACTTGTGTGTGCGTGCATGCGCGCGCGGCACCCCGCGCATGAGCTGCAAGTATGATTCGAACACATCTCTCTCTCTCTCTCTCTCTCTCTCTCTCTCTCTCTCTCTCTCTCTCTCTCTCTCTCTCTCTCNCACACACACACACACACACACACACACACACACACACACACACACACACACACAAAGGGGATCCGAAAGGGGGTCTAAAATCCCCCGGCAGGTGAGTGCGCTGGGAGGGCCCGGCCCCCAACCGGGTGCCCTGCCCGGCCAAGCCGCCCAGGACCTCCCCCGGGCCCCTGCCTGTCACCCAGGCGGCCCGGATCCCCACTCAGCCCTGTAGTCTATTATGCAATGGTATAGTCAAAGGCACACATCCATACACACATACAGGCATGAGTACACACGTGTACACACAAACGCACCACCCATGACATTTGCGTTGCAGACTACCAGCAGTTGCAGAGTTGCTGGTCTGATATGAGACAGAGGGGTTTAGTAGAGGGATGGAGGGAGGAAGGTGGCACTCAGCTCTCCATCTTACCTGCACCGAGGAACCGAACATTCTGACTGCTTGCAGATGCGGGCATGGAACTGCAGGAGTGTCCACATTTTCCGGCAGGCCGGACAACCACCCGATATTCTCTGCTTACAATTGATACCATGTCGAAACAGCGCCTTCACAGACAGACAGCTTGGATACTGGCATTGCTGTGTCCCGCATCCTGAAGCATGCACCAAAAGTTCCAGCATCTTTCGCATCTGCAGCACGGAAGTCCATTTACAAATCGATGGTCACCAGCACCCCAACGCACAGCAATTATCAGCGCCAATTTGCCAGGACGACCTTAACATCATATGGAGTATTATGGACACAGAATCATCACTGACACTTCAAGAGGGAACCATGTGGTCAGGGCTTGAATTAGGAGATAGGATGCAACTGACGCGTGAAGATGCGAACTCATGGCTCGAATTAGGGCATACTCACATTAGGCCCTCAAAATCGCATAGTAGCAAAAACAGCGGCTAGATCGAGTCCTCACTTTACAAGGACTCCATCTGGCCACTGATTTTGCTATTTTGCAATTTTGAGGGGCCCTTAGTATCATCTGCTGATGGAGGGATCTTTTCGGCGAAATTGCAAATCTATCAAACCATGCACGTTGCCCAAGGGAATGAAGTAAGACACAGCAAAATTAAACAGGTGAGAAAAAGATGGGCCGAAGGGTACAAGCGAGATTCACAAATCATGCAGTTATTGCCAGAACTCTCCAACAACCATTTTCTTGCACAGCCAAGGGCCAAAAGGCATGCCCCTCGGCGAAATAGTTGTCCATAGCTATCCTCCCCCTGATGGGAAACGGGCTTTACTGATCCTGATGAGTAAAAGTGAAACTCCAACGTAACAGTGTTGTCACAGCCCCTCGTTTGTTGTCCTCTTCTCCCTCTCTGCCTACGGTTTCTCTCTCTCTCTCTCTCTCTCTCTCTCTCTCTCTCTCTCTTACGAGTTTTTACCTGTTTAATACGCTGTTGCCGTCCCTCTTGGTTCTGCACCTGCTGCTCTGCCATGGACGGATGAGGTACAAGCTTGTGCGGATGGTTGGCTTCCTTTTTACATACATTGCAGAGATCATAATCTTGGCAAGTCGTACATCGCCATCCTTGGCCTGTCTCGATGTCCTTCTGGCAGATATTGCATGTGCACACGTACGCTGGTGCACCAGGATTGTGCAGGTGATAAAGCACCATCATCGATGAATGTTTGGCTCGCCTCAATGTGTCGTACTGATAGTGGTTGCCCTGGCAAAGACTCAAGAAGGCCTGCCGAGTGTCAAAAAATTCACTCTCCATCATCTCATCCTTATCCTTCGTCTCTTCCTGTACAGGTTCCACTGGCAGCTGCACATTACGAAACAATGGATGTGCTAGTCAGCAAGGAAAGCACTTGCAAGTTGCCAAGCAGAGTATGTTGCCTCCTCGCTCTCCACGCTGAACATCTAGCCCAGTCCAACACAGGCCCTACAAACCTGCCTTGAAACACAAGCTATGCATATGCCCATGCACCCATACAGGCAGCAATGAAGGCAGGGCGACCGGGCGAGTCCAATGTTGTTCGCTGACAGAAACAAAGGCAGAGAGACAAATTGCCAGGCAAAGCACAGAAGAGACAAGAGAGGGACAGGGCAGCATGCAGGCAAGGTTGGCGAGACACACACACACACACACACACACACACCACACACACACACACACACACACACACACACACCACACACACACACACACACACACACACACACACACACACCANCACACACACACACACACACACACACACACACACACACCACACACACACACACACACACACACACACACACACACACACACCGAGTTGAACAATGATAAGATTCGGGATTGAATCTACAGGGTTGGTCGGGCAGTACGAAATGAGGCTTCCAAAGCATACGCACACGCACATCCACACAGCTGAGCCCTGACAAGATTTGGGGGGAATTTTTATGTGTAGATTTCTCTGTGCTAATCATTGTGTGATCAGACTCTCGTTGCTTCTCATGTTCCTGCGTAGCAACAAGTTGCATACTTAAATGAAGTTCTACGTTAAATCGACTAAATGACTTGATATCTGCAACTTAGTACGAAGTTGCAACTTAATTACTCTTACCAGATGGGGGAAGATTGCCACTCGATTTGCTTAACATATTTTAACCTTGAAGGCTTGAAGCTTAATTACTCTAACATATTAACCACTGTAGCAGATTCGCTCACAAACAAAAACATCATGGGTGATCCATTTGTGGTGGTGGGATCTCACCCACGTACTCTCCCCCCCCACTCTCTCTCACACACAGCTCTCTCTCTCTCTCTCTCTCTCTCTCTCTCTCTCTCTCTCTCTCGCGCGCGCGCGCGCGCAAAAGACAGGAAGACAAGGGGGGAAGTGCTGGAAAGAGGATGGCATTGTGAATTGAGGATGGCCTTATGGATATCACGAAGAAGCACCATGGGCCATGAAGTGCTGGAAAGAGGATGGCGTTGCGAACTGAGAATGGCCTTTTGGATATCATGAAGCAGCACCATTGGCCATAAAAAATACCAATACAGAGAAAGTGTCAACAAGGAGACGACTTGGCCTTATGAGAGCAGGGATACTGAGAGGCAGCTAAGGTGAGAGAGAGAGAGAGCAGCATCAAGCCGTGAAGACGCTCAGTTCAAAATTCAAAGGCATCAAGTAGGCAGCAGTATGCACAGGGGGGCATGCTGAGGGTGAGCACTCCCTCCCCTCCTCAGAAGTAGCTGGGGCACAGGAAAACGAACAGAGGGAAGAGAACCTCTACCCCCATTATGAAGCCGCTTGAAAGTTTCATCTTCCTAAAGCTGATCTCTAGTTTCCCTCTAATCATTCAGAAGGTGAAAGGGGGTTGCTGCTGCTTACAAAAGCAGAAGCTACATCCGTACAGAAAGAATTGTATAACTTCAGGGAATCTCTAAGAGACAGACGAATTTTGATTTAAGAAGGTGAAGGGAGGGGGCGGCTGCTCACAATAGGAGAAGCTACAGATATATATAGAAAGACTATGCCCCGAAGACGTAGCGGGGTTCAGTGAAACTGTGGGGGAGAGATGGATTTTGATTCCCCATTCAGAACATGAACAGCATGGCCACCATCCTGCATCTGTGCCCGATTCTTTCTTGCGCAGTTGGCAGCGGCAACCTTACGCCTCGAAAGAGCAGGCTCTAAGGGTGAAAGCCTGGTGGCTGATTCCCTACCGTACTGTGGTAGTGGTACAGGGCACTAAAGAAAAAAATCCACACAGAGAAGGGTACAAAATGAAATCAAAGAAATAAATTGTGCTGAATGAAACCTTTCTGTACATCAGAAACGGACCATCAATATAACACCAAGATAACATAACTGTCTGAGTGGCTTGAGCCACGACACCATCTCCGACTTCAAAGACGCCAGCAGAACATAACTGTCTAAGTGGCTTGAGGCACGGCACCATCTCTGACTACAAAGACGCCAGCAGAACATACACATACGCCATCGGCAACACCCAACTTTCTTAAGGCAGAAAATTCCACGACGAGGTGGCGGGGTTTTTTAGCAAGTGAATATGCAAAATAGGGCATGATACACACCGCCTTGAACTCGTGAACTACATCTCTGTTCCCTTGAGGATGTCTCTCTCTGTCATCTCGCCGTCTCTCAGCCTCATAGCACCTGGTCAAATCATTCAATCCACCGGAAAAATCAAGTTAACTCGAGATCGGCAAAATGCCATTTGTACACAATATCAATCCACTCCATATTTTTATCTGCCTTTCTTGGTACAAGTTAGCATGGTTGAGAGTTTTGAAAGTATCCACATCATCTGAAACACCCCCAGCTTTGCCTCCCTTGCGCAATCCTTCATCACCGCTACATCTGCACCCGTATCTTCAGTAGCCGGGTGACAGAGCAAGCACTCGTCAAAGACAGCTGCAAACTTGTCGAGAAAAAAAAAAGAGTGTGCGAAAGCTGGTGTAAATTGTTACCCTGTTTGGACCGTTTCTGCATTTATGCCTGTTGGTGTACATTTCAAAGCATTTTAACTTGCAAAAATAACGTCAGATCCCAGGGTAGGCACACACTTGAAGACCGTAAAATTTTCCAGCGGCAAACTGGAGGAGGAGAGAGAGAGGAGGACGAGAGAGAGAGAGAGAGAGAGAGAGAGAGAGAGAGAGAGAGAGAGAGAGAGAGAGAGAGAGGAGGAMGAGAGAGAGAGAGAGAGAGAGAGAGAGAGAGAGAGAGAGAGAGAGAGAGAGAGAGAGAGAGAGAGATGATAAAAAAGAGTACCTGTTGCACAACTGGAAAGGATTTTTGCACTGTTTGCAAAGCCAACGGCTCCCACTCAAAATAAAATCCCTGCAGTGTGAGCACACATAATGCATATGTACCATGATGAAGTCCTCCTTCATTGGCCCAATCGACTCTCCAAGCTGTAAATGCAATCATAACGTCCACAGCACACACGACGTTGCTCAGTCAAGTGGCAACACTGTAATGCAAGAACCCACGCTTTTGCCACGATCATCTTTCCCCCCTCCTTAGGCTCGTTTTGCTTTCCTTTTGCTCTTTTGTTATTTTCAGCCCCCGGGACCCATTAGCTTTTTTTGTTTGGCCCATCGAGGTCCGTTTACTTTTCTTGTTTTCAGTTTGTACATCCTGCAATACAGCTGGCAAGTTTTCCTTCTTTCTGTTTGACCGGCCAGTTGAGAGACGCACCGTTCAAACGCAAGTACACAGCACGGCCATGCGGCTGAAGAGCAAACATCCAAGTGTTAGGTCACGACTCGTGAACCCAAATCCAGTTGTAGAACCACCAGTTAACATTCCCCGTGTGTATGTGTTTGTGTGCGATTTTGTGGCCGAACCCAAATCCAGCTGTACAACCACCAGTTAACATTCCCCGTGTGTATGTGTTTGTGTGCGTTTTTGTGGCCGTGTGTGGCTCAGTACAACCCAGTCCACATATTATGACCCACCCTACAAGGTACGACCCAGCCTCACAGAGTACCACCCAGCCCACATAGTACCACATAGGGATGAGTTGAGCCTAACTTTGACCGTGTGTGTGTGTTTTCTCTTTGCGGCCGTGTTTTTGTTTGTTCTTTCTTTCTTGTGGCCGTGTGTTGTTAGCCGTCACCATGACTAACCCTTTTCCATCCAGATGAGATTATCCAAAACTGAAACAGCTTTACCTCTATGGCAAACGACATGAAGCACACGAAAGCCGTTATATTGCGTTTTCCTTCTAGAGTCCTTTCTTCACTTTAGTTTCGCTTTCCTCGAATTTTCTTCTTTGTTTCTTCTTGCAGCTCCCCTGCTACTGTGCCTCTCACATACAAGACTCGCCACGTTGATTGCGGTTGAGTGCAAGCTGCCCACATCCCCATGTGCTATAATGGCCCACTTGCACGATATGAAAGGAAGCAGAGTAAAGGGGGAGGTATACTCCTGTTCATTCTCCAGCACACCTTCAGCTTACATTTAGCAGTGCTCCCTGTGTGTCTGTGCTCTTAATGATGCTCATCCGTATGGATTTAGCGGTGCTACACAAGGGGAGGGAGGAAGGAAAGGGGAAGCGGGAGGAGGGAGGTGGAGGGACAAGGAATAGAACAGAGGAAAGACAAACTACTGCACAGGGTTCTGAGTACTCACTGCCAGAGCAGACCACTATGGAATGGCAAAAAAGAGGCCAGTCAGTGCATGGGTTGCAGAGACAAGGCATTCATTGCCTATGGTAAAGTGGCCACCCCTGCAGACAGGAGAGGACTGGTTCGGGATGTGAACTGCCGGAAGCGCCGCATCCATTTCCAGCAGTTTCAAGATCCGGTCTGCAACAGCTCGCCCTAGCGGGGATAACCTTCCAGTACAGCATGGACAGTTTGCAGCGGCAACAAAAGCTCACCGTTGTATAAGAAATCACAGACATCGATCATGTCATGGACCATGGTGCCGTTGTCCCACTGCTCCCATGTGGCATGGACGATGGCCATGTAATGGCCACATGCCTGTGCAATGCAGGCACAGATGTGGGATGGCGGATGAAACCACTCACCAGCCTGGGCATGGAGCTCACTGCTACTTGAAGGACCCCCAATTGTAAACCCTCGTTCGTTTCCCGGTGTAGTTACTATCCTCTAGCTATAGGCAGGGAATATGTACATAGAGATGGAGGGGAGGGGGGAGGGGGGCGGGGGGGCAGAGAGAGAGACAGACAGCAGAGACACAACGGACTCTGTTCTGTGAATTATGACATTGAATGCAGAAGGAAAGAGGTCCTTGCAAAAGCTGGAACATACCTTGTCAATGAGTGCCCTGTCCTTGCTCTCTGTTGTCGAAAACTCGCCTTGCGCAACCCCCTTTCCGCTTCCTTTCTTTGCTACAGACTTCGCCTTCTTTGGCTTCTTCTGTGGTCTCCTCTTTCCATCATCCTTCTGACTCTCCTCTTCAAGCTGCACTTGCCAAAAGTTGCACAAAAGGAAAGGTGAGGATGACACAACAGAGCATGTTTTTTTCCGCACAAGTACCCAACTTACCTCCATGGTCAGCAGTGTCTTCCTGATTCAGGTTATGTGCGAGAGTCTAAACCCCACATCCAGCAAGTGAAAAGCGGAAACTACAGTATTCCCCTGAAGACATAACGCATGTGTTGTAAATGAATACAATGCATAGGCTGCTTTTCAATTTGAATACACCGCACATGCGTTCTATTCGAAAAGCTGGCATATTTGAATACAGCGCATATGCCTTTTTTATTTGAATCATCGATTCTTTTTCCAAAAAACTCGAATACGACGCATATGCGTTATGTTCAGCGGAAGAAGGTAGTCGTTTTGCACTCTTACTTCGGCCTTTTCTCTTGTGCCGTCTGTGGCATCTGGTCAACCACACTAAATGTGGCCAGTCTTGCACTCTCGATTTCCTTGTTGTTTCGGGACTATGGGGATGATTCGGTGTTGATAGTATGTGATTCACATTGATTCTTAAAGAACACAGCGATGCACACACAGACATGCACAGTCAGGCTTTTCTTTTTTGTCAGTGGAGTTGTGTATAGCGAAGTCATGTTCGCACGTTCGCTATACACGTCCACCGGCAAAAAAGAAAAGCCTGACTGTGCATGCGTGTGTGTGCATCGCTGTGTTCTATAAGAATCAGTGTGAATCACATACTATCATCCCCAGAGTCCAGAAACGACAAGGGAATCGAGAGTGCAAGACTGGCCACATTTAGTGTGGTTGACCAGATGCCACAGACGCCACACGAGAAAAAAGGCTGAAGAGTGTTTAAAACTGAACATGTTGGTATGGTGGAGCTCCGGGTGCGCCCACACACACGTGATAAACAGACCTGCGCTCGAATCTCATAACCCAGTTATGGGCACAGGAAATCTGTGCAAACATTCACATGGGGCCGGTCATCGAAACGAATGATTCGCACGGTTGCCAACAGCTCATGGAAGGCAATGATTCGCATGCTTGTAGCTTAGCCTAAGTTGTCTCAGCAATTCAGCAATCTCAAGACAGCCCAAACAAAGACCTCAACAATGCTTATGTGCACACCTGCTCACTTGGCGAGAGAGGTGTGCTCTGCTGCATGAACTGAGCTATGGTTCAACACTACCACCCTGAGTGCTCACTCCAAATTGTTTTTTCTTCTTCCTCCGCTGCCTGTGGAATAGGAACCGAACTGATGCTCCCCAGAATGGACGAGCCGGAACCATAAGGTTAAAAAAAAGATGACACGGAAATCCCACCGTTCCTATCATGACATATCCATGGCACGCGGTGGGTAACCCAACTAACATGATAACATTCACTGCTGAAACACGACACCTGTGGGAGCAAGCACAAAGTTGCAAAACATGTCTCACCTGAAGAATCATTTCTTCTGCAGCACCTGGCCAATAGTCACCATCAAAGTAGGGGAGCCTTGCAGCAGTGATCTTCGCTCTGCTCTCATTCGTTTGAACAAAGAAGCAGTCGTACAAATTGCCCACATCTACAACAATACCCTCCGCCTTTGCCTTCTCCAGCATCGTCAAATACCTACAACATTCACCCCTCTTGGTCAGTGAGTTATTCAGAGGGAAAGAAAGAGAGCTCCAAAAGAACAAAAAATGTATACCTGCAATAAGCAAACTCATTAGAGGTTCTCTTAGTATTTTCTAGCCTCCACCACCACCCACTCTTTCAAATGACGTCGGAGCCAGGAAAGGTTAGCGCAATGGTCACACGGGCACATTTGACTCCATGACTTAGGCAAGGGAGGTTTGAAACACCAAACTCAGGGCCACCACAACAGCCAGGGCAAGCCTGCTTAGGAGCTCCTTGGGAGAAATGAGGCAAGAACTAGAATTATTCCCTCTATGCAAGGACTTCAAAAAAGTAGTACGAGTACCCAACCCGCGTGCCAGAATGGTACACACAGATGAACTGTTGATGAACAGACCTGAGTCCGAAACCTGATGGAAGGAATGATAGGAATCAGATGCATGGAATCACTCTGAATTACCTGGGGCCGATCAGTTCGACGCTGATACCTAAAGGCCGCTGCGCTTCTTTTTCATTTTTTTAAAGGCAGTACGAAATGACAGGAAACCCGTGTGTACGTTCTATTCAACTTACCTCTGAAAAATGGGTTCTCAGAAAAAATCGCTGATTTCTTTTTCGAATAGAACGTACGGTCATGGAAGAAACTACCGCGAAAAACGAAAGATCGTCTGCCATGTTGGATCACAAAAAACAAAAAGAAACACAACACAGATTTGCAAGAACCTCGAATACAAAATACGGATGTCGTAATCGAATACAGCGCACAACATTTGCAAAACAAACAACTTTTGCCCAACGGTCACATCGAAATCCGAATGCAAAGTACATATGTGTATTCGAATACAGCTGAAAAACAAAGCACGTACGTTGTTTTCAAAAAATCCAGAAAACTCCGAAAAAAAGAAGAGCTGTCACTACCAAATTCGAGGTGAAAAAAAAAGAAAACGAGAATACAAATATTTTTGTAACGGCGGGCGTCGGCAGGTACATTCTGTTTTCTTTTCTTTTTTCTTTTTGCGCCATTGCCAGAGATCGAAGCCGCGTCTCCAAAATCGGAAAAATCCAAAAAAACTACTGTAGTATACTGTACATTCACAGTTTCGATACAAACAACTTTTGCCTGAGGGTCTTCGGCGAAACTCCCGACCAAAAAAATTCGAGTGAAAAAATAAAAATGACAGCAGTACTACAGGCTCCTACAAACTGTTACCCTAAAACTCGTTGTCATAACGTACATACTAACACATGTTGTATTCGAATACAATGTACGGACGTTTTTTCATGTTAGGACAGTACCATGACCCCTCCCTCCGTAAGAGCTGTCAGTACAAACTCTCTACAGGTTCAATCACCATTAGAACAAGGATAGTGTGCTTGTGTGAGAGATCCCTCCTTTATCATCATCGTCGTCGTCATCGTCATCATGAATGCATAAGAGTAACCACCGCAACAATGATGCTGACCACAGTGTCACACCATTCATCACATCGGCGGCGGAGTCTTCATCAGGATTGCCTAAAAGTAACCACAGCTACGATGATGCTGATGATAAAGTAGAGAACCATGGCTAATAACATTTTGGATGTGGCCATCTACTTCTCAACCGTCCCTGTTGACAACGGTTCAGGCAGAAGTTAGGGTTCGCATATGAACCCCCCCCTATAGACCCCCTCACTATGAAACTAGACCATGGACTCCCTATAGGCCCACTCTCAACTCTGGTGTGAGAATGATGGCAAATTTCATGTTGCCAGAGGCAAATAAGCACAACCCTCGCCAAGAGGGATGAGAAAGATCACAAGTCAGTTTTTTTCAGCACAATATCTGCAAACCGTACTGCTCTCCAGCGCTTCTAAACAATCACACCTTTTATGCTCTCAATAGTCCTTATAGGCTTATACTATACTTCACTGCACCAATCCGTTCTTGCCGTAACGTTTATGTAAACAAGCGGAGAAGATAGAACGCATAAGACCAAGCAAGGGGGGGGCAAGGCAAGTGAGAGAACGAGGGGCAAACAAATGGAGGAAGGGACAAGTAAAGGATTCAGAGAGAAACAAGTACCGGAGCGACGGGCAGATGCAGAGAGAGGGATGGATTTATGGACGATATGCGACACAGGCTAGTTGGCACGGAGGCACAGTGATGGAGCGACATCAGCACCCACTTACCATTCACGAAGTTTATCAGACTTTGGTGTCTTCTGGATCTCTGGATGGCAATAGAGTATATAATCCTCTCCTTTTAAGGGTGGGCAAGCCCAGATGTAACAGCTGGAGAAGCCTCTCATCTTAGTGTACTGCAAATACCCGATCTGCAAGGAGATCCACAAGATACCACAGTGGAGATGAAAAACTGGTCAGGTCAGCACTGCAAAGAAGGTGGTGACAAAGATAGCTGGCATTGCAAAGTGAATCTGGCTTGGGGTGAGGACCACTTGAGAAACAAAAATTCGAGCACCCATCGGCAGCAGTTCTCTGGTTGGTTGGCTTTGGCAGCCGAGTAATGAATGAACAGTGCCAAAATTAGCAGCCAAATACATAGGACAAAACCAGTACCAACTGGGGCGAGGACCTGTGCTCGGCACTCACCCAAACCCATACGCTTTTGTCACAAGGCAGCCAAAAATCAAACAGACATCCTGGTCCGAAAGCAGTCCCGACAACAAACATGGAAAAGGAGGCATTCATTCATTCCACACAGGACGCTTCGTTGCCTCAACTGACATTTACTTAGCAAACTCCAGATTTTCTCTTCTAACTATTTCAGGACTAGACTCCACCATTGAATTGTGGCCCACCTGGTGGCAAAGGAATGATTTAACCTGCTTAAAGCTCATGACTTCATTATATCTTTTGGCAGTACACTGAGTTCAGCTTATTAGTTTTTCGGCTATATGCAGCCCAGCTCATTGCTCCAGCAGCCCATGTTTCCAGTCCAGTCTGGTTTCCTTCCCTCTGCGGCTCTGCCGTCTCATCGCATGTCTCCAGACTAGCTGCACTGGGCCTGTGCCAGTGCTTGTTTTGCAGACAATAGCACTTGCATGTTCCAGAATTCTGCCGAGGTGAGAAGAAAAGCCACTCTCATGGTTTTCTCATCCACGAGGACTGGGACATAATTGCACACTTCCATCTGGAGCATTGCCTGCTTGACCAGACACAGAGATGAGCATGAGATGACCAAACATCCCACATATGTGTGACCACAACAACCGGCGCCATCTGGACTTCCATCCGGGGGCCCGAGAACTGTGCGGAAGATCAACATCCAAGTCTCCTTTTTTTCTTTTCTTTTTTGCCGCAGCGGTCATGCTAATCTTCTCTGTATCGTTCAAATTTTAATGGATGTCTCCACGCTTCGTTGTTGGCACTAGTGTCTCAAGTGCAGTCCAATACAGCCATGTTCCTCTTCCCTGTCCCATCCCTTCTGGTCTTTTGCCGCCTCAACCCCCCCACTTGTCCCACCAGTTAACAGCTCTTGACACCACTGCTTGATGCACTTCTGACAGTGTACAGCCAGCAAGGTCCTCCATCTTCAACTTGCTGTTCAAAGGAAGAGCTCAGAGAATCTACTACCGTCTTCACCCGAATAGAACGCCCGGTCATTATAGCTGCATGTGGGCCAAGTTGCCGTCCACATACAGTGATAATGACCGGGCATTCTATTCGGGTGGAGACGGTAGTAGTTCAGGCTAAAGTGCACCCTTTGCAGACAAGATAGAAGTGAGGAGGAGTTGAAAACGGACAAAACAACGACTTCCCGAAAATTGCTTCCCAAAACAACTTACATACACACGAGGGAAAGAATGGGATCAAGGATGGGGACAATACATCAAAGCAATTTTTTTTTCCGGAAGAACAGCAAATCACAAGTTCCGCTGACCAGAGGGGCACCGACGCAGGTTGATCTGGTTACCACGCACCAAAATTTCGTGATATACAAACGTCCGCAAAGCCTGCCCATCAACTGTCTTCACCTCGGGCCTGAAATACTTGACAGAGTCCAGATATGACAGGTAGACTCGCCGTGTGTTGGGCTGAGGGCAATCCGTTCCGAACTCCTGAGTGTACATGCCAAATAGACAAACCTCCACCCCTTCGATCTTCTGAAACAGCAGCAGGACCTGGTCACGAGCCAGCAAAACAAACAGATCAGCAGGCACCATTATAGAGGCATTTTTGGACAAGACTCAAACCAACCACCAGAAGGGAGAAAGGGAGGGGAAATATTCATGCGAAGTCGTCCATATCCCCAACATTTTGAAGAAATGAACAACATAGCAACCACTGCTCTTTTCACTCCCGCCCGTTCTCAGGGGAGAAAGAGAGGAAAGAGTTTCATAAAAGGTCCCTTCACATGGAGACACAGAGCAAAATGATATCGCGCAATCTCCAGTTTGTAGCATCGTGCATGGTAGACCACATACGCCAAACTTTTCAAACCCCAAGTCACTATATCGTAAAGTGCCAAACTCGAACCCTGACCAGTTAGGTACAAGGCTACAAGGCTACAAGCACACTTTTCAGCTGCCAGTCCTCCAGACTGATTCAGCGCCAAGAGATTTTACAGGCCGTGCACGTTTTCCTGCAATTTCCCTGGTACCATGCCATTCTCCGGATTTGCCCCTTGGCCTGTGTCCCATTCAGACGGAAACCTCACCCGGCCGAAAGCACTGTTCACACGTTTTGTTCTTGCCTCGACGTGCAATCACTGTGCTTCCGCCTGACTCTCGTCCGGTTCGGTCACTCTGTCCTCGTCCTTTTTTTTTATATATCGATAATATCGTCATGTTTTTTTTCAACGGCCGGCGGCCTGGAGATATCATCATCGAAGTGACCTGCCCCAGGTAATTCAGAATTATTGGATTGAAATTTGATTCCACTCATCTGGGTCCATCAGGATTCGAATTTGGGTCTGAATTTCAACCATTCATGGGTGTACCAACTCCTCTCACTCCCAGATTCTTGGGTCTTATCTAACGAGTCTGTGTGTGTGAGAGTCGAGCCTCTCCTTCCCATGCGCAACTCTCCGCACCAACCCAGTTCTACATATACTGTGATCTAAAGGGATCTGCAAAACAAAAAAGAAGGAGAAAGATATCCATGGTCCCGTAAATCAGAACTGACCTTAGACTTATATGGGAACTCTGCTGGGTAGTCCTCATTCTGAAATATCTCCATGAACCGCTGCTTGACGTCCAGCTTCTTATCAACTGAAGACACCACCCTGATGACAAGACCTTCAGCGGTCGGAACCTGTAGTCCATCCAAGAATTGCTGCGTCAAAATTTGTGCTTCTTGTTCACAATGCCGCCACCTTTGCAAATGGGAATCTGTCCTGAACACGACTAGCGAACACAACCATTGAAATGAGTGGAACATGCTCCGTATAGCTTCTAGACATTGAGACCGTGTTTCCGGATTGAAGGAAGACAAGACACTGAAGACAGAGAAAGAGTAGACAAAGGGCACAAGCGGTCAACAACTCACTCGATTTTCCCAGAGAGAAAGTGAGTTACAGATACTATGAGAGCATACATTCAGTGCAACGTCCCTGGAGGTAAATTGGGCACGCACTATGTTAGGCTGAATACAGTGAAGGCAAGTGGAAGAAACCTCTATGAATATCGCTGCAAAGGTCATCCCATCATACTCCCCTGGGCACAGGATCTCGTTCACATCCAAGAATTTGCCCATGTGACCGTGTCCTCAAAGAAGGGCAAATCGCATGGACTCTATGTACGTCATCAATGACACATGGTACACAATGCAACACTCGGTAGTTACCGTGAAGAAAACCATGAATGTGGAGAAAATCATCAGCATTCATGAAGGCTGAAACCATAACATTAACGCTCCATAGCCCCCATCATTCACAGACATGAACCACACAGCAGTATAGTGGCAGAGTGTAACAGCTTCATGATGTCTAGGTGTTGTTCCGGGTTCTTGCCCTGGGTCATGGGCATAGGCTTGCAAAGATCCATTGGCAGCCAAGACTTCGCAAAGGTTGGGTGGAAAAAACAAAGCAGCAAAGGTTAGGTGGATCATGCGAGTAATCAGTGAAATGTCCATCACAGGCATGTTCTTCATTGCCAAAATCATGCTGATATATCATTCTGTGGGCGATCTCTTTGGAAAATGCCCAAATGAGGCTCCTGAAACGGTTTTCACCTTTGCAGAAGCAGATGCAGATCAGGGTTCGATCCCTGGACCTTACCTGCACTCGTGTATCAGTATCGAGTAGACCCCTGTGTGTTTTGAACCCGCGACCTGTGTTTTAGTAGAGACTGTACCATTGCCATAGGTCCCCGTAGTTGTTAGGGGTTCGATCTGTAGATCTGTCAAGTAGGGGTTACAGATGTATAGAGGTCGAAACTGCTAGGCTAGATGTAAGTCGTAGGTCCAGCTGCATCGAGTAGGCAGTATGACTGCATAGAGTCGGCAGTGCAACGCCGTGCAGTCAGCGGTACCGGTCCAGTCAGTCGCAGTCCAGTCAAGCAAGTACTGTGTGGGACTGTGTGCACCGAGGGCCTGGAGGAAAGGGGCAGACCAGCTACCAACAGAAGTATAAATCAAGAGGCAACGTCCAGCCATGCGGGAGCGTTGTCTCAAGCGACTTGTGCGAGGTGGTCTGCAGAGCGCCCGAAGTCGAAGTTGGCTGGAAGAAGTTAGCGTAGCCATAGTTAGCGGCCATAGCCACTGTAGATAGGAGAGAGACACAAGAGTGTGTACGTGTGAGGGGTATTCAGTGTGATCCAGAGTCGAGTGAGTGTGAACAGTGGTGTTGGAAACAGTATCAAGGGTTGGATGTGCAGGCACTTATCCGCCATAGCCTGTGGAAACAAGTTTGCATCTGAACCGAGTTCTCAATTTCCATATCTCTGAGTTTTGTGTGGGCGCTGTGCGCCAGGGGGATTCGCCATCTGTTTGCATGTATGTGAAGCGAAGAAGAAAGCGAGTCTGATTGCATTGGTATCAGAGCTGGTTCCCGTTACTCCACGTGCCATCGCCGTTGTGGATAGACAGGCGCCATAGTTGTAGCTGCGCCAACGAAGGTGGAGGTTCCGCCATAGCCGCGCCGAAGAAGGAGGGTGCCGCGAACCTGCACAGAAGACAACGATGACGAAAGAGAGGAGAGAGAAGTGACGAAGAGAGGAGAGAGAAGCAGAGTTGAGGTGGAGGAAGGAGAGACAAAGAAGGGAGAAAGAGAAGTCATACCAGGGGGTGAAGAAGATAGAGGCGAAGGTGAAGAAGAAGCCATAGCCGAGGGAGGACGAAGAAGGAAGGTGAAGGGAAGTAAGGAGGGTTGGCAGCCATAACCAAAGTCGACCGAGGCATTTACCAGCGCTGATCAGGCGTTGAAACGGTATTCACCAGTTCGAAGTAGCTGATGCAGGACCCAGGGTTCGATCCCTAGTTCCCCAACTTACCTGTGAACAATATYTGGACAACTTGAAGAATTGAACCTGCRACCTGTAGGACCGCCAGTGGTAAGTAGGTCTGTCGTAGGTCTTTAGGTAGCCAGGATTTGATCCATAGACCTGTAGAGTAGAAGTCCAGCTGCAGTCCTTCTAGAAGGTTGGCAAGTGGTCAAGTGGTGTGACTAAAGCAAGCCCATGTTGGAGACGAGGACAAGTGGCAAGGGCAAATAGTAGGACCCCAGTGCAACTGCACTGCGTCGTAGGGTTGTCACTATGCAGTCATGGGAAAGTCTAGAAAGTACCAGTCCGGTCCAGCAAGTACCACGGGGGGGACTGTGTGCATCATGGGCCAGGGATACAAGGCAGACCAATGCAACACAGAAGTATAAATCAAGAGGCTGCGTCCAGCCATTCATTCATTCCTGTGGAAGCTCTGCGGAAGCTCTGCGGAAGCGCTGTTCGGGCGTCTTGTGCAAGGGAGGTCTGCAGATGGCCTGAAGACGAAGTGGGCAGAAGTTAGTGATAGGCTAGTTAGCTGTTAGTGGCCATGCGCCATAGCCATAGACAGTTAGTGAGTGTGTATGTGTGTGTGCAGTGGTTGGCGTGCATGGTATCCAGGGTGATCCGGAGTCGAGTTGCGTGTGAACTCTGAGTCGAACGTGTAAGTGAGGGCGCCCAGCGCCATAGCCAACTGAAGTGAACTTGGATTYRAGTTGAGTTGCAAGCTACCATATCTCCGAGTTTGAGTTGGGTGCACAGCGCCAAGTTATTCTCATCTGTTGCATGCATGTTTGAGTGTGAATTTGCAAGACTGATTTCA